AAAAAAGTGATCGTGATGAAAAGATCATGACGGAGTCCTTCACAAGATAAAAGAAATGATTTGTTGAGCAACAGCTTAGGAACAGCCCAATGTGGGTGCAGATACGAGTGGAGGCTGAGCCTTGTGCAGCAAACTAAGTTCACAGACAGCCCCATGAGGTGAGAACGGGCATGCGCATGATTTCGTCGGATGCGAAAGTTCAAGGGTGGAGGTAGAGTATCACACTATGTCACACGCACGGTTACTGGTTCGAATCCTAGACCGGTATCCGCCTAGGCCAACCAGCCCTTCCATCCCCCTGGCTCGTATTGCGAAGAGCTTCCTTAAGCTCGAAACGATCGAATCCAGGCCTTTGAATTTGGATGAATTTCTCTGCTAAAGAAAAGGATTGTAGGGACGATTGTAAATTTGTCTGAGTAATTGGATGACTGTTTCCTAATGGCGGTGTCATTGTTCCCTACAAGAGTCCTTTCTAGTGTGGGAAGGGAAAGTATTTTTGTTCAACCATCGTTCACCTTCGCTTCGACCTGATGCTTGATTAAATGCGAACCCTACAGATCAAAGTTGGGATGTTTTACAACAAATGGAGTTGTTTAAAACAATTACAATTGAGTAGACCTTTGTATCGAACCCGATACAATAGACCATTGACTTTTCCTTGGAGGCTAGACAACAAATTTTGAATCAAGGCAACCCCTCATCTTTGTCAAGGACGTCGAAAACTTTACACTCCTGCTAACCCAACCGTTTCACATCATCAGTAAGCAATAAGTCATCGATACAATAAGAAAGGAAGTGTCAATTGACCAGTTTCCTCTTCATAAATAATATTTTATACACATGAGTCAATATGTCAATAATCAGAACCAGCAATGGAGAAGGAACTAAAACATCGATAGAATCAGTGTATTCAGATATAAGGTTATGAAGCTCGAACACTCAATGAATTTCAATAAGAGCCAGTTTCTATGACACTTTTCAATGGGGCAATTTCTCGAAAATTTATGAATGCCGGAGCTATCGGTATGGGTGAGTTTTAAAAAAGTGGAGCTCTCTCCGTTTACCGTCAGGCATCCAACAGGGTTCGGTGAAGTTTTGGGAATACCAGTCTGGACAGACAGGACATTTGAGGGAAACGAAAAGTCAAGCATTTCTTGGATTCATTGAGTTTCTCAGCGTAGAAGCCACCACCACCACCAAATTGATACCAGTGACCAAACATGTACAAAAATAAACGATGAACAAAGCACATTCGTTTACCTATATTGCAAGGTAATTATTCACAAATAGATAGATTATTCTTCCTCATAATCTCCTGTTATACATACATAACTCCACAAAGTTTGTACCTCTTGTACACCAACTGGGCTGCTGAAGATATTTTTAGACGCGATATTTCCAATGAGCTCGTTCCCTAATTCAGGCAAAGCGAGATTCAGAGAAGAGACCTGGCCTGTGCTGTGAGGAAAATTAGATGTCAAATGACCACACTTTTCCTAAGACAACGTCAGCATTTTGTGCCTCCACATCTGGACACGCAGTTGACAAGGAACTGAATTCGTTGTAATGAAAAATAGGTCCGACCATTTGCAAACACGTTACAAGCCATTGCGCAGAGAATGCTGCTTATCGAGAAGTGAATTTGCCACAACACATTATATAACAGCGCTGCTAAGTGAATGACATTAAAAACTCAGTTCCTTACTTAAATCCTGGCGTACCGATACAGCCGTTTTCTAATGTAGTACGTGAACCGTGACCTAGCGAAACGACTCCAATCTCTGATAGTTAAAGCACTACACTCACGTCGCAGGCAGTAGGTATCCGTCATAGCCTTTTAGCACCATAAACCGTCACCAGATACAATCCCATTTCACAGAAAAAAAAACTAGAAGCCAATCTTACTTCTAGACGTCATAAACTTTCTTCCAAGGGTATCCACCTGAACGAGAATCCAGCGTCCCATTTTTACTGTAACATTGCTGTGGGTAATTGGTAACCAGCTTCCACTACGATTATCGTTTGACGAAAGCGTCAACTAAGGAAAAAAGGTCTCGACCGGCACGGCTATAAGTCATTGTTTGCGCTTTCTCACAACAGCTGGTTTCAATGCTGTTTCACTACCAGCTGGTTTCAATGCTGTTTCAATCAAAATGGTGAGACCTACCCATGTATGAATTTCAACTTTTGATTATCACCAGTTAGAATTAACCATCATTGATTATAACGAAGAATAATTATTACTGTTTCGAGTTGAATTCATTTAAACGCCTGAAATAATCCCGAAGGACATCATCGACCTCGCTCCGCCGACTGCTCCTTTCACCGCGTTTAAGGGTCCTACATAGCCACTCGGTTCCTACTCGGGCAGAGCAGAGCTTGAGTAGAAAGGGACGTCGCAAAGCATATGACAAGTGAACAACAAGGTAACAAAAGTGAAGTAGGGAATGTGAACGTCTAGAAAATGTCGTGCTCAGCACCAGTATTATTTCTCTTCACGTTTTCCTGATTGTTCTTCTTTCCATCGTTGCAGGTCCACACTGTTGCGAGTTCTCTGACTATCCTCGTCTTCTTCCGGTACACTTGTCAAGGCCTCATTGACAGGCGACCGTGGCTGAGGCGATATAGGCGAGAGCTCTGAAACATACTTTGCTAGCAGATAGCATAGTCACGAAATCGACACCAAACTGATCAGAATCAAATAAAACCCACCTCCATTTGGGGTGAGTGGCATTGAATTACGGGCGGCTTCATCTGCCAAATCGCCAAGGATGTCCAGCGAGCTTTCACCTGCCAGCTCCACCGTATTCTTCTTATCGTTGTTTAGCGACATTTGCGAAGCGTCTAGACGGTTTGGTCGCGCCGTCTTCCTTCCATCTCTTCAACAAAGGTCATCGAAATTGATGAATCTTATTCTCAATCATAGTCTATTAAAGTGAGCTGAGCAGAAATATTGGGTTTTCCAGAAAATAATGCGACACTAACAACACAAATTTTTACATGATAGTGATAGTCGGAAGGGGCTAGATCAGTAGAGTACGCTGGATGAGGTAGTACTTCCCAACTTAGCTCCTGAATTTTCTGACGTCGCCATCGTTGCCACGTGTGGGCGAGCGTTGTCGTGCAGGAGATAGGTTTCCATCGTTATGGATATTTATGAAGGATTGCATCGGCTACTTTCTGTAGCTGGTTAGAGTACGTCGTCGCCGTCACAATAGTGCCACTTTTCAGGGATTCGTAGTAGCGCATCCCATCACAATTCCGTCCAGGATGTTCCTGTCCTTCGATAGAGATATCTCCGGACTCGAAGCTGTGATACCAGCGACTGACAGTGGAATGGTGTACCANATCTTTCTTGAATGCAGCGCAGATGTTATTAGCTGCTTCTCTTGCAGAATGTCCTTGTAGGAGTTCATAATACACGATGGGTCGAACGATACTCGGATTTGTAGGATCCATAACTGTTTTCCGTGAAGAGAAGAAGCCTTTTTATAATATATACCCGCTAGGTGTGGTCTACCTTACCGTAGATAAAAATTGGGCGCTATTGGCTTTCGAATAGCAAGCGATCCTCAAATTCCAAGTATCGCAGTATTTTTTGGACAACCCAATAGTTCAACATTCCTGCTCGGAGCACTCCTCATAAACACTCCGCCTGCACAATATGCAACAGTTGCAAAAAGGGTCATTAATTCCAACTCTTTTGAACCCTTTTTGTTTTATTTCCTTGAAGTGACATTTCCCACTATCTCAAAGCGTAGATTATACCCCTCTACGAACTAATCACTCGCTCATCAATGCTGCTCTTTGACGGTAACATTCTCCTCGCAACAAGCCAACAAGCCAGAAAAAGAAGGGAAAAGGCGTACCTGCTGAACTGTTTGCGAATACTATCTACAAGTCCTTTCCGGCTTGACAAACTTGATCGACTGCCCAAATGCCGATTTACGGATACCACAGAGACACCTTAACACTGTAGTAAAACATGGATATTAGATCCCAAAACGTGTTCTACCCATTCAACACGGGCTTCTATTTGGGAATTTGGCACAGTGGGAGATTTACAGGATGTGTGTCAGAAAAAACATATACCTTTTTGCCAATGGATTAAGTAGAAAGAGCATTGTGTTACGCTCAAGTTTGGGATTTTACCAGTTCAATGTAGAACCTATAATTAGACACTACATCCCAGGGGGTAAGCTCAAGTTGAACCCAGAATTTTCTCTCCAACATCATTCAGTCCTGATCGTATCTGCAGGTTCTGAACCAAAAGATGCAAGGTTACGCCTTTTGCGATATATCTCTTCTTGAGACCCCCTCCTCCCTCACTCGATCCCTCCAAACCTCGTCTCTTATGCAATCAGCACCAGCATTTGTTGACCACATGTGGTCAACCTTTGCTCTTCGGGATGGTCCTTAACAGACGAATGATAACAGTCTACCTCGAGGCAGGAGCCGTGCTTCTTGGTCATCAAACGATATGTTATCCAAATCTTCGCCATCAATACGCGGCATCATGACCACCTCGTCTTCTCGAGGTCTGTAATGAATGTGATCTGCTAGTTCATCGGATGAGATATTTAAGATAATATAGATCTGAAGACTTGAGTGAACCGTATAGGAGGTGTAGGTAGATAGAAAGGGAATCAGAGACAGAAAACCTCCACCAAAAAGGAATCACAATAAAAAATATTCGTTAGACAATGAACAATGTACTCACTCGTACATTGCAGCGGAACCGATCTGAGGATTGATTGGCTTCACAGCCGTGTCTGCCGAATACAAAGGCTCGATAGCTTCTGTAATACGCTGTCTTATTTAATTCCATCCTTGTGGTTATGTTGTTTTATGCAAATATTTGTTTAAGTTTACGCTGAATTTATTTATATTCACATTTGTATTTTTGATTACGAACAAAATATTCCACAGCTCAATTATAATAACAACCCGAATTGGATCCCGACGAGTGGCCCCGTCCCACGATTTTTGCTGAAGTCGAATTCCGCTACACAGAAAAAGTTGGGGCTAAAGGCAAACTCCAGATAGGAGGCAACAGCACTAATTCATCCCAAGAAGCAGCAGTGGCTGATTCATCAATATAATTTACAAAGGTTTGCCGGCTTTGGAAATTTCACATCTGGGAACATTTACCAAAAAGCTGTGGTACCGAGGTTTCCTATTACAGCAGGTGCCAATATAAAATTTGTTAGGAGTGACTACAAACCCCATTTTGGTGAAAGAGTGGTGAAAAGACTAATTTCATCTCACCAGCGCTCCAGAAGATATCTCTCTGCTGAAGAGGCAAGTCGTTGTAGCACTCATCAACGATGGAGAGTCCAAGCTGAAATTGGTCTTTTTTTTCTATAAATACAACCTAAAGGGTGTTGAATGAGATTTAAGTCTTACACTTAGGTTCCGATCCAAAAGGTAATTGCATTCGAAGTCGTCGTCGTCCTCACCAAGTGGATTCATGAGGCTTTCTGCGACCTAAATTTCTACTAGCAAACTATCATCGCATTTTTCAGAGCTGCGGCTAATAAGTGAACTTTGAAAAATGTTTCAGCCTCCACGAGCTCCGCCTCTGAGCTTCCATAAACCTCGGCATGACCGATTTAAACATTTGATAGAATATATTTACGAATTGGTTTTGACCCATTTCAGGCTTTGAAGAAGCCGATGCCGACGAAACGTCAGCCTAATAATCTTTTCAAGAAAATCGCTTGAGTCCTTAAGGTATGAATTATATTAAGCTACAGTCTCAGTAGGATTCGGAGCCACTGAGACTCTTGGCCCTTTTGCAGAGCGTGGCACTACGAACACCATAAGTAGAAAAATTATAAAGATGGTAAAAATGCGCCTATTCGTTCGAGTTACTCTCCTCGTCCGACATCTTTGAAAACCATATGGGCTTCCGATGGCATAAATTTTATTCACTTAAGTCTCGCGATTATCTCAAACGAGAGTCGATACATCATTCCATTCAGAGAATAGAGCCGAACTTCCATCGGATTCTATAGTACGTGCTCCAAAAACGCTTTAGCCCATTCTCTCGGCGACAACACAACGAAGGTGCTAGATGTGAATCCTTATACTCGTCCTGTGTCCCTTAATCGGGGACTACTAACCTTCATCCAACCAACGTAGAAGACGAATTGGAGCGATGTCATTAGAAGAGGAATAATGGTAAAGACCTGAAACAAAAAGGACTGAGTTCGAGTACTACTGCATCGCTCGTTTAAATGGAATAAACGTAGATTGAGTTCGTTATAGTAGAGAACAAAGGGCACCCATACTGTGTAGCCCAACTGCTTCTAAGGAACAGCGCTCCGGAATGTGGAGAGCTCTCTGTCTACTCTCCTCTAGTTGATACCTTCTTCATATACTACGCCATCCCATTTAAACTGGCAGATTTCATGTTCCTTGGCCTCAACGTAGTACATTAAAACTATGAAACCATCATGACACCTTACAAGCACTTCATGAGAGCTCACCCCAGGGTGCGTACCGCCAAGTGCGCACTTTAACCCCCTGGGTCATGACTCCTGGCTCACTCCTCCTAGTACCCGCCCAAGCATACCGAGCATTCCAGGTCGTTATGAAGTTTCAAACTTGTTTGGGAGGCTAAAATCGCTGTATTGAATATCAGTTGGCAATTGCCAAGAAATGTAAAGGCCACATCCATGGAAAGGCACTCGAATTCCGGATGGATTTTATCGTCCTCTTACCCTCCGAACACCTTTAACTCCAACTATTCAGGCCCCTTCCCTTGACAGCTTCCAAATTGATCTGAATCGACTGACAAAACTGCTCTAGTCTGTTTGTATGACAATATTTAACTTACATTACATCAGAAAGACTGCTGAAAACTGGAATCAGAACTCACAGAACTGCTTTCTTTCGGTGTTTCACCATGAATTAGAACGGATTGTCGCGCTATCAAGCATAAAACGAAGTACGATCTGACAGCGAGAAAGACAACCTCAAAACTGCATCGTTAATTTTACGGTGAATATCTCAAAGCTACAATGTACAGAATGGAAGTTCCTTCGCACTGACGTGCTTTATATACCGGGGTGCTCAGAGAGTATATGAACGAAATTTCATAAATGTGCTAATTTTTGTGGGGTGTTCCGTAACTTTCCATGAAAATTCTGTAAAAGTACACAGCTTACTCTTTTAATTGCACTCAAACTCATATAGCCTAACCGACTGCGATATCGAAGAATTCACGATATCACAGTCGGTTGAATATATCGAATTTGGACCTTGACCTTCTCATTCGCGGCTTTTCCTTCGGAATCAGCCGTGCAGAGAAATTGTTAAGAGAGGATCTAAGGCTAAATGCCTAACACAGGTTTCGATGGGCTGAACAGAGGCCTGGGTGGGTTCGAATTGTAAGGCATCGGAGCATCGTCGAAGGTGGGTGACATATCGGTTGATATAGGTTCTGATAAGCAAGGGGAAGGAAGTGGGTAGTGCACTTATGTAGCAGTTCCATGGAAGCTTATAGTAGAACGCACCAGAAAGAAAAACAGATTATTGCAAAATTCTCGGCGGATATTTCCCAGGATTTTCTTTTAGAGGGAGGTTTCCTTGGTTTATTTGGGATCCAACGTACAAAAGCCTTCTGACCATTGCGAATTTTTTTTTTCATGAAGTGAACATAACTCTAGTAAACATAAGAAAAGCAAAATTCACACGACACACAAAAAATGAAGGAATTTTGCATGGACATGAGGGTGCACAACGATTTCGAATGAAATTCAATGTGGCATACCTGAGGATAAACAAGCGGTATGGGGACCCAATCAAAGTTGCAAAGCTTCGCCAAACTCTGTCGGAATTCGGATACATTCTGAAATAGGACAGAGCTTTCTTTCGCTGAGCTGAAGGGTATTGACATATTTGGAAGTGCATAAATAGTCGCATTTATTTGTGCGATTTCATTCCTGAGCTTAGACCCACCTTGATTATCTCGTTCATCATCAGATCGCAACTCAATTTTCCCGATACGCGCGCTTCATAGACCACCGAATAGCACCACTGGATCGGTAGGAATACTTTTGTGTATTTGTTATTGTATGCCACGTATTTGTCTCGCTCCGCTTCCGTCATGAAACCTGGAGTAGAAATCGTCAAGGTAGCTAGCCATAGACGCTGAACAGAAAGATCTTCATGTTTAATTATCCGGGAATTGAGTAATCGGAAATCAAATGCCAATTACGAGTGCCGAAATTACGGTGGCCTAAGTTCTCCCAGATTAAAATGTATAACTCTTCATGACAACAAAATGTTGCCGCTTGTCGGAGGGTTTTCCATTATGCCTTACCTGGCATCCCTTCATAACCAAATACATATTTCGCATGACTTCAAAGAATTGAGGGAAAGGACTCACCCACTTGTTCTCCCCTACATCAGTTATAAAGGATAAAGGGCGAAGTCTTAGGCCTGGGGCAATTCCTTTTTTGGAATGCGGTCCCGCATTCGCCTTCCTTTGAAATCGTAGTGATGTTACAAATGCGTCTTTGTCCTTTACAAGCATTCAAGCCGATCGTGCTGCTCACCTCAAGTTGTACATCACAGCGTAGAACAAGAAACCAGATTATGAACTTCCTCATCTTATCTGCAGTCCTTTATGAGGGAGCCTCGCCCACCGCAAGTGTGTTCTCTTCGTTCCATTTGTTGACCCATCCCTATCTCTGCTCACTTGTTCCGGTATGAGAACTGTTCTTGAAGCGAATGAGGAAGCTTGGTTCTTTGTCCAGCTCTTTCTGGCGAATCAGCTCTTAAGCATTGAGGTCTGCTGAGCTCACATCTGCTTTTTCATCATTTCCTTTGCCCCCTCCCCAATACCAAACTTGATCCGACCTTTCCAGGTGCTTCCTCAAATAGTACGGGATTGAGAAATAGATAGATAGACAGACGACAGAGAGACAGACAGACAGACAGACAGACAGACAGACAAATGAGAGCACATCATTTATATTGGGGTAAATTCGCAGTTAAGAATCAAAAACTGAATATATGCCGATGCACAAGTCAGTGCTTTTATCCTCCCAGTTTATTCTTATATCAATCAACTGGACCGAAAACGATGGAGGGCTTGTTCGGTCCAGGGAGCTATCAGCCAGGATTCGATCCCGGAACGTCCATCACTTCCTCCCCTCCATGTCAGCCGCACACCAAATAATTATTCATATCCCGCGCAGTAGGACACAAAGGTGAGATGGGTGATACATTCCAAAGGGCTTAGTCATAGTCAAATCACTAGTTTTTTATCAGTTCTTACTCCCCTAACTCAATAACATTTCCAGTCTGCCTTTCGGAAGCTTCTAAATAGCTCAACACGAAGTTTGTGTAAACGAAGACGACAAACATATCACGCATAGAGAGATCAGGGAGGCGATAGCTTTTTTCTTAGCATTTACTGCACTGCTTTGATAAATTAGTATGCATTGTATGCAGTTGACTAGTAGCACTCCCAAAAGTATGATCGGAAAGAGTAAAATCTTACGAAGTTCTAGCTTCAGCCCTTTAAAGCCCATGGGTACTATCGAATGTCACAATCATACCCAATTAACGCATCGCATCAATTGTGGGAATGGAGATGTGCCAGAAAGCGTATTACCGCAGGCATGGCTCCAGTCAACCAAGCCTTCTACTTCCCCCAGTCTAATAATCAGAAACAGGTTCATCTGGAAGCATTAAAGGCACTGTTCACAAAAAAATGGTTTCGGAGCTTTGCACATGGTTTGAATTCGACGCCTCCTTTGATACCATTTGTGCAGGAATGAGGTCGGAAAACGGCTGGATAGGGCACATTAAGGGGCCGGAGAGTTATCCACGGTCGCCTCCCGCCCCTCGCCAGGTTGCCGACGAAATCTAATTGCCGTTCACCAATTTCGCATTGGAGCGAAGTTGGTGAAAAGTCGATAAGCTGGTTGGCAAATTGCCAGAGACGCAATGTGTTGTCTGCTATTGCACACTCCCTAACCGCCATTCTTTCAATGTGAAACTCGTCCAAACCCCCTTTCCAGCTCTTTTTTTGACCCTTTGTAATTCTTTTTGTTCATCGTTTTTTGGGCTTTTTTCGTTGTTATCGTTTTATTCTAGAGTAGTTCTATCAATTCCCGTCAAAAAAGGGTACCCTAAATTTATTGCTAACGGTGCCTTTGAGCACAGGCTTGTACATCGGCTAACCACCACAAGTCAACGTACGGACCGCTCTACGCATTCACAACGCCAGCCATCATCGGATATGAAAACCAAAAATAAATTTTTTCTTACGAACCGGATGCCACAACAGTGTCAAGGGTAGGAAGACGACGTCGTACCTGCATGCTGATGTCGCGATAAATTAGCACCTGAATGTAATCGTGAGGAGCCCAAATTTGATGATTCATGAGCGATTCAGTTAAACACGCAGCGTACCCAGATATTACCTGAGCCAAAACCATATATCGAATCACATTTCTTCTCATCATCCGACTTTTTTCATCGTTTCCTCGCAAATATGTCGCAGTCAGAAGAGCAGTACTAAAAAAGTGCAAATGCAGTTGAAAAAGTCTGTTTGGCCACTGGGTTACAGTACTGTATACAGGCCAATAAGCCATTTCTGATCCTTTTGCTTTGTTTCATGGCCTCATACAAATGTGTTGAAAAGTAACTTTTTGAAATAAATGTCCAATCGTGAAATTCTTCGATGGCAGTTCACGGTAGCCACAAAGGGGTTTTGAAGTGTTGGACGATCCACAATAATAGGTGTTGCACTGCATGAGTCATGATACCCCATGGAGGCTGTCCCGCTCAATTAAAGGTCATCCTCTTGGTGCGACCGGTAGTCCTGCCAGAAAAGTCTACCCTTCACAGATCAGAAGTAGAGGACCTGATGTGACTAGTTGACGACGTCGCGCGCGCAGTGACCTATACTCGAAAAGTTGATCGCAATGGCGCGTCCTGGCCTACCCCTCAACTTCAATGATATGGTCTCATACAGCAAAAAAGAACGCAGTTAACACTCTCACGGACGGCTCGGGCGAGTCTCAAGAAATAGGGTGGCTGAAATGAATAGATTGAATACGTCGCAATTGTAACTGCACGCGTTGTTCCCAACTGTGACTTCATTGATGGGTCAGTGAGTAACATTTACCAACTTAAGCATTCACCAACTTTTCAATCCAACCCATATTACTGAAAATTTGATTCCATCTCCCAACAATGATTGTCACAAAGAAACCAAGCATGAACGTAAGAGGGATGTAGTCAAGTTTGGTGTCGAATAACCAAGTTACCGGTAGCCAATATAGGACATTGCGGAGCTCGTCTAGCTAAACTTTTTCTGGACATGAGAACTAGTCAAATCAGCAAAACAAAGATGCATTCACCAACTTTTCAATCCAACCCATATTACTGAAAATTTGATTCCATCTCCCAACAATGATTGTCACAAAGAAACCAAGCATGAACGTAAGAGGGATGTAGTTAAGTTTGGTGTCGAATAACGCCGAAATCTCGTTCCAGAACCTGAAAAATGGCTTTCGAAAGAGAAGTAATCACAAGAAATATTGAAGGCGAACCTACTTACTCTCGTTGTTCTGCAGAGAGGAAATAATTTGTACGATATATGATTGTAATAACAACAAAAACGGTCAGAAATATCGTCAATTCCTAAAGAAAAAATTGGTTGTATTGGAAAAATAACAAAATCAAAAGAAGCCCCGTCTTATCTCGCAAATTTGCTCTGAACATTTTGTTACAAGACTTGATTTGCCTATGTCAAGCTCAAAAACCTGCTAGATCTGGTATAACTTGCCTTCAAAACCGACTTCCAGATGGATCCACGCCATCGAAACTGTAATTTCAGAAATCCAAGTATGGACGTGGACGATACGTCCAGATTATATGAAACCGTCATTTTAAGAGATAAATAGTGATAGCACTAAAGGCGCAGAGGTAGTGAAAGAGGTAATCTGAACGAGTTCTATAATTATAACACGGCAAAGTACAATTATACGCATGTTGAGTTGTAGGGAACATTACGATAAACACTGATCCACCAGCATCTGAGAAGACGATACGGAAGAAAGAGATCTTACATAGGAATTGAGCTTGTGGTTCTGTGAAGCCCTAACGTCTGTCTCCAGAGGAAATACAAAAAAAAAGATTTTTCAAAGATTACCCTGTAAGAAGCAATGACTATCCTTCAGATCAGATCAGACTCAAATTGTCGATTTCTTTGGACTGATAGAAATGCCTGAGGGATTTTAGATGATAGAGAAGTGGGAGAATGGGAGAAGATATCAAAAAACTTTTCTAGGCGTGACAGCGGGACAGGGACTAATTTGCTTCGACATGAACGGCTAGCAAGGGCGTGATAGAAATATGTATTATTCACAGGTTAATCATATACTTCTGGATATATTCATTACTGCGCGATACTCAACAAAGATGACAGTGAAAAAGCGATTTTAACCGCAATCAGTCAAAGCAAATCTTTAAAAAATTCTTAAAGGCACAGTTCACGATAAAAAAGGTTTCTGAAATTCTTCTTTAGTATGAATTCCCCCTTATACCATACTTGTCGTTATGAGGGTGAAAAACGTCCTGGATAGGGCACAATAAGGAACCAGAGATTGTATCATGTGAATGCCCCATCCGTGGGGGGTGAAATTCGACTTTCAAAGCTTTGTTGAAGCTGCACCATCCACAAGAGAACCAATGTAGGAAATTCAAACAATTTGCCATGACCCATAGCCGCAATGAAAGGCAATTCTGGGCAGTTATTGCTTGATGTAGTCGGCTCTTTGCACGATGAGAGGAAGTTAAATCTCGTTCAAAAACCCTTTTTATGCCATTCCTGTCCCGGTGATCTCGTACAACTCCCACTTCCACTACTTTCGAAAAGCTTGAAGTAGGAAGTTCTCGCTCTCTTCCCCACCGATGCTTTCCTTTACATCAACTTTTCCGCTTTTCAACCTAAAAAGGTATCACAAATGAACTGAACTAGGGTTTTGTAGGAAAGCTGCTCCTAAACCCTTAGATAACCTGGATTTTTGCTATATTCTCTAGAAAACAGGGCGAGACATCCCACTTGTAAAAATCTTGGACTACTTGTTGGTAACTCACCTATAATCTCACTTCTTACATCTTCAACTGGGTTTCAGAAAATCACTCCAACTGTTCCTCGATTGTGACTTTTTGATGAGATTCTACAGCCCAAAATCATTACTGGTAATCAATAGAGACAATAGCAAGATATTGGTAGTAAACGAATATCACGAAGACTTATGACTCTCCTAGCAAAACATTCAAGAACACGCCATCACAACTGAGGAAGTTATAGGCAAGGGGGCAGACCAATTTGGACGGATAGGCAGGGGATTCATTGTTCTGTTCTTATTGTGAAGGCGTCACACCCATAGGATTACAATGTCTCCACGTCTTGCCAAATCATCGGAATCGGTAGCAGCGAATCTTTTTTGCGAGGTCATCGAAGTAAGAATTTCTGTCATATGAATAATTTATTGCATGCGCCACATACTCGTTCGTCAATGAGTTTTTGAGAAAATTTGTTCCCCGAACAGATTCTCATTGAAAGGATCTATGGGAATCGCATCAATATGTTTTTTAGTTGTTAGGAACTTGCAGACGGTGGTATGTAGAGCAGAGATACGACATGTACTCCTAGGCTTGATTTGTGCAGTACAATTGCTTGAAGGGAAAAAGAGCCACCATCACATTGGGACGGATCGAACTAGCCTACCAACTTCACAATATAGGGAGCAACATGAATATTCGCTCGAGTATTGAGGTGACAACGATGAAAGGTAGCGGTAAGGGGCCAACAGGAGCAGTATCTCACCATATCCCTCTCTCTGCTACAGCAACGGTCCCAAAACTCAATGTTCATAGTTATTTAGATGCGATAAAGTAAAAATGATAAAGTCATTGGCTTTAATCAATGCCGTTTCCGCATGCGCTCCGCATTCGACTTCCATTCAGAATCGTAGCAGCGTATCGAATGCATGTGTGACCTATACAATGGCCTCCGGTGACCAGCCGATGTACGAGTGAGGATAATTTATCCTCCCAGGCAATTCTCGTGTCATAGCCGACCTCGAGGGATGGAACTTTCGGCCAGCCTGGTCGAAAATCGATTCGGGATTCTACTGACGGACCTGCTTGTGGTAACAGTGCGCCACTAACTACTACACCATCTCTGCCGTTATATATTTACGATATTTTGCAGCTGTAATGAATTGCGGAACGCGTCAACAGTATTTTCGTGTGGGACTCCTAAACACTTCTAGTCCTCTTTCAAAGTTACAGTCAGAAAAGCATACCAGCTCTCGAGCTCCTAGAGGCACTGTTCACGTGACTCGGTTCCTGAGATTTCTTCTTAGGATGAACTGGAACGTCAACGGATAGCACCAGGGACGCTGTCGGGTCGATCTGGATAGGACGTGATAAGGACCCCAGCCGACGTACATGCACAAAGAAGACGAGTTCTCTTGGTGTTTTAGTGAAGGCGACAGAAGCTCAATTATTCATCTTTGAGGAAAAACCCAAAGAATCTCATGAAAACTCTAACAATGGGACCCGTAAATGTTGCATCTTATCCCAAAGAAAGGGCAGGAGCTTTCATCTGAAGAGAAATGAGATCCAGGTTTCGCTTTGATTTCTTCTCACCATCATATCCCCCGATATCAAGCGCTTTCCTCTGCTGGCCCTACAACGGTTGCAGCGTTGTAGCAAATTCAACTTTTTCGAGCACTAAAATAGTCACTCGGCAGATTCCGATGGTATGTTGATACATATAAGATATCCACTAGAACACTCGAAGAAGGGATAAGCTCCAAGCAATAGCTCTAACTTTGCCTGGTTTGATGGCTTACTACGCTTACATTTGAGTTGGGAAAATTAATTCAAGACGCTCCTACCGTCGCATTCTTTTTTAGTGTTAACCATTTCACTGTGCATACGCTCACTTTCCCTGCGTGGTCTTACACACTGCCTTAATAGACAGCTCCTCTCATTGCCTGCATACGGTTGTTCAATGTTTCCAGGAACGACCCTGTGGGTAGTACTATTTGCTCCGTTCTCGAGGACACGTGTAACAAATGCGAAGATACTTAGGACATAGAAAGATCGCTACTTATCGCACCTTAGCAGCGTAGTTGATTACATTATCTACCATGGCCTGTCTTCCCCCTAGACACAACTCTCCTGAGTATTTTGACTGTAGAGGTTTTTGTCTTGCTTAATCAATTCTGTTCCTCATGGATGTCCAGAATTAAGATGAATGGGCTCACTTCAGCGAAACAAGTTTCAAATGCTTTTCATTTTCGACACTGGGAAGAGAAATTCTATTGAAATTCTCAAGGATCGTAGCATGGGAAGGGATTATTCCTACCTTCATTACTCCCACTTATCTGTTAACACTCCAGGTGCCACTTAACACACTATGTTAGCCCTGTTAGGCCGAATATATGAAATGTAATTGGGTGATGTGAGATGTGCACACGAAAGTAAACCAATAAACTAATGAAAAAGAATACGGAGAAGCAAGATGCACAAGGAAGTCATATAGCTGAAGTCTAGAAAATGTCCCTAAAAAGTGGTAAAGTAGTTGAAATAATTTATGGTCCAAAGTCAAGATAGCCTGCTAAAAGTGCTTCATTGGTTTGAGAGTATTGTATGAAATTGGAAAGGAAAATTCTCCAGTCAACAGCAGCAGCTTACTCCAAAAAAATTAATATCTAAATTAATAGGAACGCCTGTATACAGTGAATTGCGAAGCGGCCTAGTGAGATATTGGAGGGCGCTCTATGGTAGAAAGCAAAGGGAAAAAGTGCACAAGTATACAGAAGTTAATCTACATATGTACTGTACGGGAAACGCTTGAAGTGGGAAAGATGTCCACCATAGAAAAGGCTGCCGACGTGAAACAGCATGACTCATAACCCCGTTTCTTTCACCTCTATTCATCGCAACTGCGACCAACCACGAAGGTCTCAAATATTGAACGCATAGGAAGGACCGTTTTCTCCGGAATGTCACAAACATTTGGCTTCTATTTGATATCAAAAATCACGTTCGCTGCAATAGACGGGTGAGGTTTACATAACGTGATGCTCTCCCTCCACCAGCGTGGTGCAAACATAATAGGTGTTACATAAATACGATGGTGAATGCTCGCGAACGAGGCTAGTGTTGGTGTTGACCGACGAGGGCGAGAGAAATCAAATGATTGAATGGTTGAAATGTGACGACCAGAGGTCAGCGATAAGATTATGCTTCAGAAAGTCACAACGTAGTGCAAGGGAAGAAAGCAGTTGGATCGGGAACCGAAAGGCGCCTATGTAAAGCCGTGTTTGAGGGAGGGAGCCAATCGACTGTCTATCGCCGTGTTTAGGAGAGGCAACGGAGAAAGCTGTGTCAGCACATCTCTCAAAAAATAATTATGCCACTCTTGGGTAGCATGCTAGTTATAAACATGCAAGATGCTTCGGGAGTAGGTTAATTTCCACTGTGACTGTTACTGGCGTTTTCTTGTACATCTCATGGAAGGCCTCTAGTGATACCGAATGCGAGACATCAGATTCACCCCATCGAGGGCATGAAGCAAGCCATTCCACCAACCAAGCTAATCCATATGCCATCACAAAATCGCATTTTCGGACTCCCTAACCTTTGATTCCCTACCAGCGGCAACGCCCATCATCTCTGTTCGCTGAAAGAACTCAAAACTCTCCAACACCCTCAATTTCATTTGCACTTTCATGTGCCGCGAAGAACATTGCTCGGGCATCATGGTCATTGCTTCCGCTGGTTATCTTGGGCCTAG